CTCTTACTGATATCCTCAATAAACAAAAATTGTGCCTGTATTTTAAATCACATACTTTTTTCCTCAGAATACTCTGTTGCAGCCTTTACAAACTCTTTACTGCAGTAGCCGCAAAACTGAGAAACACTACTTCATAATACCAGCAGGCTTTGGACTTTTACTAAAACTTTTACTAAAAACAAAAAAATTTTACTACACTGGTTTATGTGTGGCTGGATTACATACTGAAAAATTCAAGGTACAGCTGTTCGTATTGCCAAGAAAAATATTTTCATATAGTGAAGGAGAAGTAAATCGTTACATATTTCACACTGTTTTCATAATTCTATAATTATACCTGATTTTTATTGAATGTCCTTGAGCTACCTATTCCCTGTCGCCATTGCTTTAACCTAGGACCTGGGGTCCTCATATGTGGACATCACATTTTGGGTTGTCCAGACCACAATACTAAATTTTGCTCTATAAGGGCCTGATATCTCTTACGAGGACATTATATTGCCACTGCTCTATCGAAATTTAAAAAATAATGTCCTCATATGTTGCTTGTAGAGCAACATCAGGTAAAAGATCATTCTTTGTTTTTACATTCAGGTCCCAATCAGCCCAAATAGCAAAGGGAAATTAAAAATGCATGCCATGAAAGAGTTCAGGTCTTAGTAGGTTAATATAGAAACACATGCATGAAAACACATATGTAGTTTTTCATTTAAGTTATTATCCAGGCAACAAAACACAGAAACTATGGGCTAAAAATCAAGTTCTAATTTCATCTGTGTGATGCGTCAGTAACCTCAATTTAACAATTAGAGTCTATTAGAGTCTAATTAAAAGGAGTGTTCTTTAATAGCAATAAAAGTTAGAACGTGTGTGTGTGTGTGTGTGTTCTCTTTTAAGTGATTTTATATATGAAGAAGCACCCCTGTGGTCACAGGTTGTCATAAGATCTGGAGGCCATAGAGTCAAGTGGGGATTCATCCCATCATCAAGTGGTATGTGGTTTTGTTCACCTTGCATAGCATTTGGCTAAACAAAATGAAGAGGAGAGTGACGACCTCTAATATAAAGAAACCAGGATGGTCGCACTAGAGGAGACCAAGTAAAGAGAAGAAATTTTTTTTCAGACTCATAGCAGGAAATGAAGCCCAGAAGAGAACAGCACAGACAAAACAATATACTACAAAAACATTGCAAAAAAGGAATTCACAAGATAGATATAGAGATATGTTGGACTCTTATCATTTAAGTCCAATGTACAACTAGCTAAAATTCTGTGAGATGGAAATTTACTAATAGCATGTTAGATGGTAAATGGACTGGTTCATATATAGCACTTTTCTACTCTATTTGAGCACTCAAAGCACTTTACACAACTTGCCTCATTCACATTCACACACATTCATACTCCGGTGGCTGCATCAGAGAGCAACTTTGTGTTAGAATTTTTGGCACGCATCCTGGAGCAGACTGGGATCACACCAAGCTTCTGATTCGTAGGTGACCTGCTCTACACCCGAGCTACAGCTACCCCAAATTAAAAGAAAGTTAAAGTTGAAGCTTGATTACGAATAGAGCTGATGACGAGTGAGCAGCAGTTCATGCAAAGAAAGAACTCTACAGATGCAATATTTGCTTTGAGTGTTGAAGAAGTATAGAGAAGGTCAGGAGTAGTTGCACTGTGTCCTTGTAGATCTAGAGAAAGCAGGTGGTCAGGTGCCAAGAGCGAAACTGTGTGCATGCAGAAGTCAGGAGTAACTGAGAAATATTTGAAGATGTGAGGCCGGTGTAGGTCACTTTTGAGGACAACAACACAGTGGTAAGGTGTGACGGATGGGTTCAAGGTGAGTGTGATATTACATCAGGTACTGGTAACATTACCTTATTTATTCAGTTTTATTTCAGATGGTTTCCAGAGTGTATTTTCTTGTTTAGAACTTTTTGCTTACTTGAAAACTGAGTTAATAGTTTGTCTGTCCTTTTGGACTTTCAAAGTCTGTATTCCAGACAAAGTTAAAATAAGATTTTTGAGCTTTCCAGATAGGCTCCTTCTTTTCAGTGGTGACACGTGCTAAAATTATGGATGTGCAGCTTTAGTGTGCAGAAGAAACTAAAAAAAATGTAAGTGCCCTAAACATGAGAAGGGACATAGATATGGCCCATGTGGGGAGAATACACGTTTTAACTGTGTTGGGCAGCACAGCATTATAATATTAACAACAACTCTACATCATGTAGAGAAAAGTCCATAAATGGATAACATTATTTTTTCACTACATATTTAATCAACTGTACATATCAAATTAAACACAAAAAAGAAAAAAGAACTGTGTAAAGGTAACAGAGAGGTTGTTGTTTTTTTGTTGCATAGATATATTATATAGATATAAAATATGATGTTGAAAAAGGATGGGGGAAATTCTAGAGGACCAGTAGAGAGGACCATCTGATAATTTTACAGTGGAGTGCTTGAAGTTAATGGCAAAAACTGAGTAATGGACACTAATTGATGGAAATTTAAAAAAAATCCTTAATGATGGAAGTAACACACGAGTAGGGATGGGCAAAGCCAGGCTTTTCTAAGCAGCTGTGCAGGACTTGGATTGAGGTTTTGAAACAGTCTGACACCCACATCCATAGTGACACCTAGTGGCTTTTTTTTATTATCTATCGCCACATCTTGGTAACCGTGTTTGGTGAAATAAGGACAAGCCAAGGGTGTAGATTTGGTTGTGGCATTGGTGGGGATTCAACCACCGAACCCTGCCCTGTTTCTTTTTTTTCCCTTTTGTCTTTGCTTCTTGATAATAAAAAAAAAAAAGGAGAATTATACTTGCCTACATATGTTATTCTACATGCTTTTAAAGCATTTAAAATTACAATTCATAGTTTTATATGTGAATTATATAATGTTAAATTACTATTAAACAACTGACTGACTAAGTATTTTAGGCTTTAGTTTACTTCAGCCATATTCCATATAAATCAGGTATCATACAAAAATAAAAATAGCTTCAAATACAGTCATGACAATAAAAGAATATGACTTGAAGGGCTTAACAACATTACTTCAGTTATAGTACACCAACATCTCTGATACATTAGCACCAAGGGAACACTGGTTTTTGTCCATAAAACTACTCATCTAAGATTACCACAAAGTAAAAGATCTCTCAGCAAAATTATGCAACATTTTAGGCACTATTGCCCCGATCAAGTCAGTGAGCTGAGATTTTCTATTCTAAACATGAACTACTGTTACAGCTACTGGTTTCCCACACAACAACTCAATGTCCACTATGTGAAGCAGCCAATCACATGCCTGCTCCTCTCGTTAGCTGAGATAAACTGCTGGCACATTTGTTTTACATCTATACTGTCCAGTCTCTGCTGGTGGACATACAGCAGCATTGTTTAAACTCATTTGAGTCATTGTTAACCTTAGCCATGTTTTTGGTCTTCTGAGAGCACTGAAGCTTCTTTTAGCCTCAGTACCTGCGTTTTATCCTCAGATTAAAATTATTATTCTGTGCTTGATGTGCCTCACCTTTGGCCCTGGCTCTTCCCCTCTGACTGCACTAGGACATATTGCCACCTGATAAAATAACACACTGATTCGTTCCATATAAAAAGTGAGACGTGTCAATTCAGATTCTTTGTCAAATATACACTAATGAATCAATTTACATCAGCAGCCTAACAGTTGTCATGATAATAAATACTAGTTAATCTATAGCACCAAATCATCAGTCTGTCACCTGTGACCTCGCCTCTTCACCTCTGTCCGAGCTACAACATGGCAGAGCTGCCTCTGTCACCTGATGAATAACAGTGAGACATTCCACATACATGCAGTCACACATGTGCTTCAAATACAGTCATGAACCAACAGGTCATCATCCAATTTCACCTGTGATCTTGTGTCACCATTACTCTCTGAGCTTTGTGTTTTTTGGAATACTTGCAAAATCATGACTACCTCATGACATTTTGTCTCAAAAATTAACCCTATGAATATGTCAGTGCCAGTAGGATGAAATTATTGTGTCACCACCATTTTAACGTTAGACATATAATTTTAACAGCCTCTGTAAACTAATATCCTGGCTTGCTCGAGGCTGCCGTTTTCTCTGACAGTTTCAATCAAAATTAGAAATGCTACTCTGGGAGACTGAGAACTAATAGTGCTGCATGTTGTGCAGTTAGTTTCCAAAATACTTTTTTATATCCAGGCTCTTCCTTTTTACTGCCATCCTCCTCTCCTCCTCGCAGCGCAGGCTTGGTGCTGCTAAAACTGAACAGAGCTCCCTGAAAGGCACAGCCAATCACATTGGCCATATTTGTCACATGAGGTAGAACTCCAGTAGAGAACGTAATTTAACTCTTTCTGCACCACTGGGTGAATGAGACGCTGACAGATCTTTTTTTTTTCTTACTATCGGGTTTGTTTTTCTTTACTCAAAGAGATCAAATTATTGTTGGGGACAATTCAATAATCGCTGGATATTGGTGGGGACATGTCCCTTCCGTCCATGCCAAATCTACGCCCTTGGGACAAGCTATGCATAGTTCTCAACAAGGCCACTTATTAGACCAGTCTATCAATAGTTATTAAGTGATTAGTGATTAATCATTGTTTTGAGGGAAATCTCCATAAAAACAAGTAAAGAAAAACACCAAGATTGTTCAATATCAGACTCCTTAGACCTGGATGACTGAGAGCTTAACCAGATATATGAGAAAGATAGCAGAGGATCAAGAGCCTACTTAAATTGAAGTTAAATTTGTTCTTTTTTTACTTGCTGTAGTACAAAAGAACATTAACACAATTCTAAGACAGACAAATTTGATTGAAAGCATATGAGGGGTTTCCTTAGTGTGTCTGTCTGTGTGTGTGTTATTTTTGTTTCTTGAGAAATTCTATTCCACTCCATTCCATCTGGCGGCGCTGGTGTAATTTTTGGGTGGTTTTCTGGTCACTCACCAGTGTTCGAGTGACGTGGAGAAGAAGAACAAAAGAAAATACAACGACGAAGAAGAGCGTGTGGCTGTCGTCTGCGTTAAGAAAAGATTGTTAAGCGGATCTGGTAATAATAATTTGCTTGTAAAACTTTTTTAGTCCCAACTGGCCTTTTTGTTTCTTTTTACCTGTTGCCCTCTTTTCAATCGTTTGGTTTGGCAGTATGTTTTCGAAGTTTGAAATAACAGCTAATGTTAGCATAACAGCTAATGTTAGATATATCTGCTCATATCATCAGCTGTAACAAAATAATTTCCCAAATATGAGACAAATTATGAATTTTGTCATTTAAATTAGAAAAAACCCGAAGGACAATGACTCGCCATGGAAAGAACTGCACAGCTGGAGCTGTCTACACATACCACGAGAAGAAGAAGGATACAGGTAAGACATCCTCAGTGCTGCGAGTTCTTGTCTTTGTTCTCTCAGATTAGCCCGATCAGAAGGAGAACATGATTTGTCATTATCTAACTCTGATCCTGCTCAGCGGCCTCTGGTTACGGGACACAAAGTGTTCGACTTGGCAGAGATGCAGTCAAAGACTTTGACTGCTGCTGCCTGTCCCTGCAGCCCTGTCGGGATCCTGTTGTCACGTATGTTTTTTACTCCAACACACAAACACCTGCACACAGGGGATCAGTTCATCACTAACTGAATAATTACAGTAGAATTTTGAATAGAGTGATATTCCTTTATCGGAATTATTGCACATATAAAAATGTGGAAGGAAATTTTCATTTTATATAAACTCTCAACAGCCTTAATAAATGAATACATTCATGAATTTATTTATAATGAACCTTAGATCATACTACGCAGTTTCTTTAATGAATTCAGTTCTTTTACGTCACGTGGTTCTGTAGTCTTTAGGTGTTGGGTTTTTATAGACCTCTAGCAACAACAGAGAGGAGCAGAGTGATCAGGTGGTTTCTTGGTGGAGACGAATTCTAAATTATATTTATGGATAGCTACAGGCAAGAGGCTGTGTCAGTGACATAGTACAGGATGTGTGTAATGTTCTGAACTGATTTAACAACAACACTCTGCACGGCTTTTTTTATTAGCTACAGAGCAAATTGTGAACTACTTGCAATAGAACAGGAGGAGCTGCTGTGACAGTTCTGTAGGGGGAGTCGTTTATACAACTGTGTTTGCAATCCTGTGGAGCTCCAGAGTTGATATTAACATATTAATAACTTCAACTTTTAAATGATTTCATTCATCATGGAGGGGGGGTGTCTCTCCGAGCCAGCCTGGCCTTACGTGGAAAAGTAATTTCCCCTCCTAGTGACACCAGGCCTGATTACTGCCAGACCTTTTAAAACAGGAAGTCAGTTAAAATGAACTTAAATAAATATAACAAAGTGAATTTGGCTAAAAGTTCTCAAAAAGCAACACAATAGTGGCAGGTTTAAAACATGTCAACAATGTCAAAAACAAATAACAAAAGCATTTGAAATGGTGGGTTTGTGCACCGGATGTGCGTAGTATTTTTGTGAATAAGGCTTTACTGCAAGTGACCTATTCTTATAATAGGACAAATGAATCCAAACCATCGTCAGCAGAATGACTCCACAGCATAAAAAAACAACCAGATTCTTTCACTGTAGACATCAGACTGTAAGATTTTTCCTTTGTAATTTAAATGAAATTAGTCCGTCTAATCCAGGAAGCCTTGGTATCAACCAGTTACCACAGTTAGCCAGGTCAAACAGATATGGCATCATGCTTGTTTGGCAGTTGTGCAGTCTTGCAAGTGATCAGCAAACACACACCAACTCCATCTTATTACAGGTCAGGAGACTTCACCTAGTGGTCAAGTTCTGTGCCACAGCATTCTACAGTTTCTGACAAATAGACCTGAGCTCCCAAGCTTTATATATTTTTAATTAGTTATTAATCGTATTTAATTGAACTATGAGTAATGATAATAATCTCTAATAAACACACACACATTAAAGCATACGATCTAATGTTAGCATATGTGTGACACTGTCATGTTTCTGTTTGTGTGACCAGTCCAGATGGATACCTCTATGAAAAACAGGCCATTCTTGAATATATTCTTCACCAAAAGACACAGATTGCCAAAAAGATGAAAGTAAGTAACTCACTTAACTGTTCTTAACTCCTTACAGGTGCTTGGACAGTCACGTCCACAGCTAAACACCATGGGGTTGTTTTATGAATCAATGCTTAATCATCGGGGTAACTAACACTGAAGAAGAAAGCCATGTAGACCGAGCTGTATGCTATTTGTCACTGGAATCTACATGTATTCATTTGGTGATGTAGAAAATGTTTGATATTTTTGATTAGACAGAATTAACAGAGCTTGTTTGATATTTAATACCAAAAATACTGAGTAGAAAGTTGAATTTGACTTTGGCAATAAGGTGATTTCCACATCAGACCAGAAGACAATGAGTAAATTTTAAAGTTTAAAGTTTCAGAGCTCTAATGTTCAGCTGTACATGTTACACAGCACATAGCATAAAAAACTCTATTTAAAATATTAACTGTTGATGCATTTTGTGCAGGACAAAAGTTAAATGACTTTTTATACAAGTGCACACAGACCCTGAAAGAGCGCACTTAAAAAAGAAGGTTGATGAGCGCCATTGCGACTGGGTTTTTAGGCTTTGCAAAGCCAGCTAATCCAAACAGAGCTTGGATATGTTGAACTTGCTTCATAGTCACTCCTGTAAACAATGAAACAAACAACATAAAATCTACTCTGCAGCCAACACATATGAAAGAGCTTTCTCTAAGAAATAATGGCCTCTTACTTGTCTAGAACTCTTACTTGTCTAGAACTGTGAGTGCTTGGCTTTCTTCCTTGATTTCTTCAGGCGTACGAGAAACAGAAGCAGGCGCAGAGGAGCAGCAACCAACTTGAGTCCAAGTCAGAAGAGCGAGAGAGAGTGGAGAGGTTTAAAACAAAGGAGAACAGCATTGTATCTAAACCTATCAACCCCTTCACATCTGGTGCGTGCATGGCTGTCAAAATATACCTTACGATGTTGGCCACAAGAGGGAGCCAAAGCTCAGACTCTACCCCACAGACTCTGCGCTATGGCTGCTGCTGTCGTCACTTGTGTTGATTTAATGCACCCAAACTATTTTTAAGACATTTTTTATAATGAATACAATTCTGTCAAAACTGCTTTTTTCTTTTTTTCAGGTAAGAACATTGGAAGTGAGAAGGACGGGACACAGAGCAGCCCTGGAGAATTATCCAGTGCTGCCACAGCTGCAAGTTCCAGCCAGAGCCTGCCCAGTTTTTGGATTCCCTCACTGACACCAGAGGCCAAGCCCACTGCTCTCAAGAAACCAGTGAGTGACTGATGATGTTTTTCATGCCGAGGAAGGAGTTGAGCTACACTGTATGCTGGGTTTTTTTGTTTGTTTTTTTAACAGACTGGTGAAAGAGAAACAGGAACACCTTTTTGTTAAATACCCACCATGAAATTACTTAAAAATGCTGGTGTAATAGACCTTGGAGCACAAGTGGGCCAGATTTGTGTGTGTTTGCCAGGTTTACCTGTTTACTTTATTAGTCAGTGTTTTAGTGTATGAATGTTTACTCTGCGTTCCTCTTTTTGATGTTAACCCTCTTTCAAAGGCCAATGTCAGGTTGACCTGACATCATGATCATGTGGATCAGTTCCTACAGCTTAGTGACTACACTTACTCAAATATATTTACTGCTAAATTTGAGTATTTATGGGAAGTAGTTATTAAAAATGTAATGGCATAATTTTGTAATGGCTGCACTTTTCTGTCCATCTCTAACATCTGTCAGAGCAAGACTGTGTTATGTCCAATGTCTGGAAAACCCATTAAGATGAATGAGCTTATCACAGTGCGTTTCACCCCCTTGGACCCAAGTCTGGATCGAGTTGCCCTGCTCACCCGCCAGGTCGGTTTACTCAGCACACAGAAATAGATTGTCAGGCTTAGAGCATCAGAAATTTTATCTCATATGTGCAAGCCCTCAGACTTGGTAGCTGTTACATTACACGCTTCTTTGTAGCTGTGAACACAAGTTATTTAAATTGAAGAATAAACAAAGCAGGTGTAGTCAGAATTTGAATTAGAAGTTTCACACAGGAAGATGTTAGCTTTCTCTATGGCAGCTCCTTTTAACAGTTGTGTGTGTTATTGGTTAAGTCGAGTTGTTTTGTGTCTTAGATGAAAATTCTATGAGTAATCAGTCTGGTAACTTCACTTTGTCTTGAGGCTGTATAATTTTGTCATTTCTTTCCAGGACAGGTACATATGTACAGTGACCAAAGACGTCTTGGGCAACAGTGTTCCCTGTGCTGTTCTTCGACCATCGTGAGTGCCACCTGTATTTGTTTATGAACAAATTTAGAAGTCCCTCTGACCATGCATACCAACAAATGACAGCCTGGCTGTCTTGAGAATTAGAGCACAAGTCTTTAAAATTACTTTTACTACTACAAATTAATACCAGTAAGCCCAGTCCCACCTGTCCTCAGCAACCTCGGTGCCTCGTCTATAAGGGTCTTTCATAAATCTGCTTGTCTGGGGGATCATTGAACACTTTGGTTTTAACGCTCAGCTCTCTCTTGACCATGACAGACCGTGCGTCTGTACTTCTTTCTCCTTAAACCTCGGGTTCCTGTTATTCCATTTTCTACAGTCAGGCTTCTCTCCTACAACATTGTCAACATGTTTCTTTATATCAAGAAATGTGGGCAGGGCAGTGTGCAAATTGTGTGGAGTTTTCACATAGCTGCTGGTTACAAACGATTCCGAGTTACAACAGAATCAGCTGCTAGGCGTCTTTCATAAATCAGACAGAAATTTTGAACACAAATGTATGTTTTGCACAGGATAAAATCATTTCCACCCTAATGTTAGTAAATGGGGTCCAATGTTCTCTGGAGTGTGAGGGGATATGTAACATTAGGGCTGTTCGATATAACAATATATATCGGATGACGATATAAAAACATCTATCGGTTTATTTTACACTATCGTTTGTTTCGTGGTGTCGCAAAATAAACTGTTTACGGCAATATTTTTTCACTGTTTTGATGGTCACTGTAGTGGCTATATTCATTCATTTCTTAATTTAATATAACCACACTACGGACGGACAAGCGCCTGTTTTTATGTGTTGTCGTTAGCAACAACGACGGTAAAACCATTGCGTGTCCGCTTGTTTATTTTCCACATAAACCTTTCAGAATAAAGCTCAAGATCCTATTGAGACTTTTCAAAATAAACTGAATCACGTGAAAGAGTAGACAGAGTATTTACAGATGAGAAGCAAAAAAAGAGCCGTCAGGTGCTAAAAAATAAACCTTAGACTCAAACGTTAGAACAGGCTGTGTAATAAATACTAAGTGTAATAAGCGGCCGTTACAACTTATGTCTAAAAATGTATAGTTTCATGCATCGGTTAAAACACTCGACTCCAGGTACACGACGCACAGCTGGAAACACTTTACGCAAGTCGAGCTGCCCGAGATTCACAGAACTTTAAGAAAATGTAAAATGTTTGTGATTTATATCGTTATCGGGATGATAGATGTCTTATATCGGGATATGGGATTTTGGTCATATCGCACAGCCCTATGTGACGTGTGTCCTGTGTTCAGGGGCGCTGTGGTGACGCAGGAGTGTGTGGAGAAGTTGATCAGAAAGGACATGACTGATCCTCTGACGGGAGACAAACTTTCTGAAAAAGACATTATTCCACTGCAGAGGGTATGTGAAAAATAATTATAACTTTTTTTTTTTAAAAAAAAAAAGGATTTCAAATGTTTATTTTTGAACACTCATCCCAATGTTATGAATTCTGTTGCTGTCACTCAGAAATCAGAGGTGTCATGCTGCAGCCTGGTAGACACAGAAAACGTGGTTTGCTGTTTGAAAGCTGATTTTTGAGGAGCAGAGACTTTTTCTCTCTTTAACTGTACTGTGGTCCTTTGTGTTTTGAAAGGGTGGAACCGGCTTTGCAGGTTCTGGGATTGACCTCACGGCCAAAGAGGCTCGTCCAGTGATGCAAGCGTGAGGTGACCGAAGACTCCACAGTGGTGCTCATTGTGTAACTTTCTAACTTACTTTATAATGTCTTATATGACTTTTTGTTTGACAGCATTTCCTCCTGAATGTATTTTTATTTTGCTGGAAAATGCTTCCACTGACTGTACAACACAGATTTGCTGAAACTGCCATCCAAATGTTTCTTACAGATTAATGTCAACAATTTCCTTTAAATAAAATCAGCATTTAAGGCTTAAATCCATACTATTATTATTTGGTTTGATTTATTTTGTGCTCAGGAGGCACCACAGGTTGTGAACTAATCAGGTTAGTGGTTCACATATTTTATTGTCTTTGATCTCCAAATTGCTCCTGATGCATAGCCGAGTGTAAGGATGTGCATAAATATGCTGTATGAAAGTGTGTGTGTTGTAGGAAAAGTGCTTTGAGTAGTCAGAGCAGAAATGTACAAGTACCAGTGTATTTAAATTTTTTTCAGCTTTTATGGACTACAGGTAAGTTTAGTTATAAATAAAGCAATGTCTCAATGTTTTTATTGTGTTCATATCATAGATGAAATTTACAATCCAATGCATTGTCTGACAAACTTGAGTGGGTGCTCTAAACATGCATGAAGTCCTGTTCTAAGCAGATCTGTTGTTGCTTAAATTTGAGCTGCTTCACTGTTCATGATGGAGATCTTCACATCGGGCCTCATTCACTTAGATATGCACAGTAATGTTCTTACTTTGAAACATGCTTTCTTGACATTTTTGTAACTGTATGTATGTTAGTGAATCAGTCAACTGGGCTGTGTCCAAACCTGCAGTCTCCATAGTACCACAGTACCACACCCCCACTTCCCACGCTTTCCTCGGGTGAAGTGGAGAAAGCAGTAAGAGAGAAGTATGCCCTGCTGCTGCTAAAAAGTAGATGAAACTCAATCAGTAGTTTCTTGTAACACTCACTGTAGCTCAGAAAATGTATACAAAATTTAAAGAATTGAATTATGAATAAAAATGTATTACTAATAAACATGTGTACCTCAGTTTAAAGATGAGTCAGTTTTGTAAGATATAAGTGTGGCCTTGTGTGTTTTAATTTTGTATAGGATGAATCAATTCAGATAAGAAAATATTCACAAGTCATAGATTTTTGTGTAAAACATTTGTATATGGGACCAAACTGAAGTCACAGTTCATCACGGTCATCCACCCTCATCCCTCCATAGTCGGTCATTGTACTGGTCTTGATGAAGTCCATCTTGTCAAGTATCTCAGGTAGACTCAGACGGCCATCCTGATGAGCAAAGTAGAAGGATGCTTGACGCAATTTGAATTAAACTGAATACTTTATATTCTTATGGAGTCTAACAGTAAAATCTTTACTTTAGAATAAATTATGTTTGTAGGCTAATAATTTTACAATGTGTACTGACCAAGCGCTTCATTAGATATGATTGTTTGAACATTGTTATAATTATGTTACAGTACAGAGAGATACATTACCATTTCCAGATATCCGTGGAGGCTCAGTTTGAAACTTCACTGTGCAGCGCTCTGTTCCTGTGTTTTGTTTTGTTTTTTTTTCAGTATTAAGGCAAAGGATGCGAATTCATGTTGCAAATCAACACACATTAAAAACTAATACAAAACAAGCATCACCTCATCTGTTCCCAAATAATACATTTTAGTTTTAGCAAAGCATATCCTGCACGTTATTTCTTTTCACTGCTGTGTAGAATTGGTAGCGACATTATGGAATCTCAAAGATCTTTTTAAAATTCACAAAATTCCAACCCCCGGGGAGCAGTGTGTAGGGACGGTACCTTGCTCAGGGGTACTTCAGGGTAGCCATTCGGTGGATTTGAACCCCCAACCCCCAAACATGGGGCGAACATTCTACCTTTACACACTGCAACTTTAAACTTAATCACAAAAAAGGCAGAAACCAGCAACATCTCTTACACAATTCGAGAACAACACTGACAATTATATTTGTAATAATTTAAATCATAATGTGACTAAAGAATAATAAGTACAATTGTAGAAAAAGAAGACTTTAATCTCTCCCACACCCTCCCATCCACACACTCAGACAAACATTTGATAGCAAATTTTGACATGCTTTCATGCTGCTTGTTATAAGAACATTATTGATTATACAACTAAAACAGCATAATCCAGACCCAAGTCCCACGCCTATTCTGATATCCCCATAACTACATTTTCATCAAAGTTCATCGTGCTTCTTCGTTAAGTCTTCACCATAATTGGTAGCCTGACTGCCCACAAACATGTTCCAGTTGGCTAGAATCTCCTTCTTGGTTATTCTCTCATCCTGTTGTTTGGTCACCAGATTCCATCCATTGGTTTCATTGATTTAGTAGTTTGAGTGAGAGAAGGAAAAGAAGGAGTAATGAAGAAAGCAAGAGACAGAAAGAAGCTTGTTAATAATTAATCCAAGATTAACACAATTATTTCAAAGACAAGTGATTTTAAGTTAGTGCTGTGTTGACCAAACTCTCCAAAATGCTGGAACTCTTATACTTATTACAGTAATGTACAAAGGTCTTGAGCCACCGCTCATTCTTTATATTTTGCTAGGAAAAAGTAAAGGGAAACAGGTGCAGCAATTTATTTAAAAATTCAAAATACATGGAAATGACCAAAAAGAATTAAACCAACTTCAAAGTGCTTGAATTGCACAAACGTTCACCAGTAATGATTGTAATATGTACTGTTAGAAAGAGGGGGTTTGAGGGTATCACATGGTTGCCAGTAGGTAGCATAGGAGTAACAATGACTCCAGACATGCCTGCAAAAGTATGACACGAGTAAGACTATCATATGGTCTTCCCAAGGGGACACTAATGGGGACGCACTGAGTACTTGTGAACATTGTAACTTTTGCATTGTATTATTGTAGGGTCTTTACTGTTTAAAATAAATTCCAACTCTTGTTGTCATTTGGTGCCTTATAAATAAAACTGATTTGTATCTAAAACATCATGTGTAACTATGAATTTTAAAATTTAGTTCAAGCTTCTAAATCCATTACTTTCAAAAATCTATAGCTTTTCGATACACCCTGTACAAGGGTTAGGGTAGCATACAAAAACACTCTGTACAGCATATACAGGTAAAAACAGACTGTACAGTTCTAGTCTGCAAGTCATTTATTCTTCAAAAGAAACTTAACACTCTCAGGCAAGTTTTCTTGTCATTTCTTTAAGCAGTGATTAAAGGCTTCCTGAAGGAGATTCCAAACTTCTTCTTTTGATGTTGTGTTCTCTATCAAGACAATCCTACACTGCTTCTTTAATGTTAATGTCTGGGCTCTGGGGAGGCCAGTCCACTAATACTGATAGGCCTCCATTGTGTGTTTTTTCTATTCAGGTATGCACTGTGTTTGTGATCGCTGTCATGCTGGAAAATGAAGCTGTTGCCATCACACTTTCCAGAATGCATGGCAGATCAAAACTTGACTGTTCATTATTTCACCAAGTTTGACAAGATTATTAACACCACTGGCTCATATTCATTCTGAAACCATAACAGACTATCAGCTGTGTTTTACAGATGGCTATTCACTGTTTTACCTCTCTCTTGATCTCCTCCATACATACTGACAACACCCTGAATCAATCATTTCAAATTTGGGTTCATCATTCAGACCTGTTGTTGGCTCTCTTCCACAGTATGTCTTTTATTCTGTCTTCCTTCTCTCTCCCCAACCGGTCGCAGCAGATGGCCCCGCCCCTCCCTGAGCCTGGTTCTGCCGGAGGTTTCTTTCTGTTAAAAGGGAGTTTTTCCTTCCCACTGTCGCCAAAGTGCTTGCTCATAGGGGGTTGGTTGTTGATTATATAGTGACTTGAGGCGACTGTTGTTGTGATTTGGCTCTGTATAAATAAATTGAATTGCCACTAGCTTTTAATTATACTACTTTGGTTTCCCCTGTTTCTCTTCCTTAAGGACAGCTTTTGACAATCACCTTTCCACTGATACTGTTTCTGAGTAGGCTTCAGAGCAAACAGTAAAGGGATCAACTAAAGGGCCAGATGCATCTCTCAGGTCCTGTTTCGTCAAGTCTTTGCTTGTTTTTTTCTATTTCTTGACTTTCATCTGCTGTTGATGATTTTTGAGCCTGACATTTCTTTTATCTTCATTTTGTCCAATTTCCTAAAATTGTTAAATACATTTTTTCAAGACACACAAGTTTTTGGCATATCACCTTGTTGGGGCAAAAATATTTTTTCTGTTAATGTGTTTTATCATGTTGAAATCTTTCATAGATTCAACTAAAGAAATGTGAAAGTACTTAAAGACACGATTTAAAATTGGTTATTAGTTTGTCTGTTATGTGAAGATACACAACACTGGTTCACCCCTTGAGTTAGATGCTTTTTTTATGCTTTACTGAATCATAGGTTAGTGTTAACAATCAAACACAAAATTCTCCGAAAACTCTGGACATTTTCTGCTTTTTCAATCATTTTAATCCCAGTCTTTGTACCTGATCATTTTTAAAGACAAACTTTGAAAGACCTTCAGGAAGCCTGAAGAAGTATTGTTCAAATGGTAAATGGCCTGTATTTGTATAGCACTTTTACTAGTCCCCCCAAAGCGCTTTACACACCCAGTCATACACCGGTGAAAGCAAGCTACAGTTGTAGCCACAGCTGCCCTGGGGCAGACTGACAGAAGCGAGGCTGCCATATCGCGCCATCGGCCCTTCTGGCCAACCAGTAGGCGGTAGGTGAAGTGTCTTGCCCAAGGACACAACGACCGAGATTGTCCGAGCCAGGGCTCGAACCAGCAACCTTCCGATTACAAGGCAAACTCCCAACTCTTGAGCCACGATTGCCCTATTCAACACCACCTTTAACATGTACAAGAAAGTCTTGGAAAACAAAATACACGGAAATAAGAAGGGGCTCAAGAATTTTGCACAATGCTATTGTTTACATGGAAATATGTTTGGCAGCTGCCACTATTTTTCATGACGGACCAAATAAAGTGCTGTATTTTCATCGGCTACACCTACATTGTTGGAAAAATGAACTGGTAAATAAACGTAATTGCTCTGGTTTTTAATGTCAAAATAAAGCCAGAAAAAAAGCCACCAGAATTAAAAGAATTTAGAATTTAAACAATGATTAGTCTACCTTGTCAGTGTCTGTCTCGTGGATCAAATGTTTGGCTTCATTGTCAGCATGGTCAACCTCTCCAGGCAAAACCCACTGTCCTACTTCGTCAGCATCCAGGTACCCATCCTAAACACAGAGAGAACATTTAAGGGTAACCGTAACAGTCTAAAACCTCCTAAGTGGCACTGAGAATCTGCTACCAGGAGTAGCAGCTTCTTAAAGTTGGACCAACCCAAAAACCTTGGAAAATGCTAGTGGTTATAGCAATTTGGCCATTGCCTGTTCCATTTTATCTATATAGCGCCAATTCACATCAACAATTATCTCAATGTAAGTAATGTGACCATTTTTTTGGGGCTGTGTTTATAGGTATTATTTTTCTTAATGAAAAAAATCTGTTTCATTTTGAAGAACTAAGGATCTTTTACCTTATTGGTATCCCTGATCTCCGAGAAATGTTTCTTCTCTGTCTGGACCCAGTCAGGCTCACTTTCCCCATCCTCGGCTGTGTACATATCACCTGTGAAACAAGAATAATACACACATTTAGGACTGACAGCCTCCAGTGCAGAGAGTAGCTGCTCAAATAGTCAAGTAAGTAACCTACCGATGTATTCTTCTAAGTTGATCTTCCCGTCCCCATTCTTATCAATGTCCTCCACAGTTTCCTGCATAAGAATATCATTCAGTTTTCACAATTAAAAATCCAGTGATAGACACAATTTGCCCCATTTACATTTATATCCCGGTAATCAGTAGTAGGCTTTACCTGAATTACCAAATCTTTCATGTAATCAAACTCCTCAGGGTGAAGGAAGGCAGTGAACTCCTCACGTGTGGCAATGCCATCACTGTCTCGGTCAGCCGTCTTAAAGCGCCTTTCATCTCTTTTGAGCATGGACTTATAAGTCTCCTTGTCATCAATATCATCAAAATCCTCTCCTAAGAAAAGAAAAGATTCATTTTCAGCACATCATTGTCTTTTGGGTGTGGACAATCCACTGGCACTTGGTTAAAGAGAAACAGATGAGAAAGTTGTAAAGCACACAAAACTCAAACTATGGGACAGAAAAGGCCAAATTTAATGACAAGCAGTAGTGGTGTATAACACAAAGGAAGTGAAAAGGGGTGACATGTTTCCCAGCATCACAGATTGAGATCCAGATTAAGTTTAGAACAGGGAACTATGGGATGGTTCAGGGTCATCAACTATAAGCTTTGTCAAAAGTCTGAATCCTGTTCTAAGCACAGAGTGTCTGTATCCAGTAAATACTTAGAGCTAGTTGTATAGTAGAGAGGTCTCATAGCTGAAGGCTCTGCCTCTACTTTAAGAAACTTTAGGAAACACAAGCAAATCTTCACTTTGAGAGAAAACAATCAGTGATCGAGTGATTGGGCTTTGGATGGAATTTGCAATGGAATAATCCTAACTCTGGAAATTTGAACCATTTGCATTTCCACTTGCTAAATAATACTGTGCCCCTCACCCACTGTGCCGTTTACAGAAATCAATGTTAGTCTCTACTGTAATTAAAATATTTATTTTCCACTATTATGGTGATACTAAAATCAAATTCCATGCCATAAAGCAAAAAGCGGAACAGGCAGAAAAGGAGATTATGGAAATTTGATCAAATAGGGAAAAAAGGAAAAGAATAAAAATTGAACTATTAGGGTTTCACACACACCCAGATAGTAGCCATAGGTGGTGTTTTTATACTCCTCCCAGCTTATCTTGTCATCTTGGTTCTTGTCGTAGTCCTTCCAGTGTTTGTTAACATTTTCCTCGATGTACCTCCTCTGTCTGTGTTTGATCCAATAATGCAGCTCTCCGTGGCTGATGTAGCCATCCTTGTCAGTGTCAATACGGTCCACTATCTTCCTGTGAAGGGAGACGGAGAAGTTTCAAGTCATGATTATGTCTAGTGTCCAGACTGTTGTATCAAATGCTAATTTTTTATATCCAACTGTCCTATTTGGGCTCTAGTCAATGTGGAGTATGTGAAATTCTAGTCTGAACTGGGTAATGAGTCTTACTAAGTGCTGAAATGCTTTAGACCACAGGCTACATTCACCAATACAGTATGTTACACCCATGACAAAATTCAAATAACACTGGATTATAAACACTGACGTCTTTCGACTGTGAGAGGAAGCTGGAGTACCCATGGAGGCATAAAGAAAACATGCAAGCTTCATGCTTCTTTATTAGATTCAACCAAATTATTGTAGCCACTTTGTCATGGACTGTAACATATTAGATATTAGATACAGTATTAGAGATTCTGTAACTGTTTTTTGAAATGAGAATTACATTTTGACTAGAGGCACGTGCTTTAATCGTCTCAAGGTACTTTCATCGAATGGTAAAAATTCTGAAATGGTGCATACTTAGACAGAACAGCTATAAGTTTGTCATTCATTCATTATTACACAGAATCGAAAGCTCCAGTTAGATTAACACATTAGTATCAGTCTAGTTTTATGCCTTAGAGCCTAGCTGCAATTTACATTCAATATAAATTTAAAGTCAATAAATTATGAAAAATTAGGTTTAAATTTCTGGTGAAAAATCATCCATTTGTTCATGACAGTGCAGATTTCTGACATTTTGTGTATATTTAGGTGAATGTGAGTGTAAAACTTAGACTTGTATCCACCTCATATTGTGTAGCTTTCTGAATTTTATACGTATTGGTTACATGTTTATTTATACATTACATAAAGTCAAAATTCTATTTTTTCATGTAACTGAAATGTTTCATTATTTGGTCTAAAGCCATTAAGAAAGTTACAGACTAAGTAAGCATACACATGTTTTATACGAAACATGTGTATGCTTACTGCATTTGATGTATTTTACCATGTAATATATGTAATACATATTAGGGAATTTAACACATGCATATGTGTGAAGAAATGGCTTTTATTTTTCGCCACACCATGGAAATCAGAATAAGATTTCTTTAGAGCCGCCCCTGAGGCAGAACTGGATAGTTTAGAAAATCTGTGATAGTATGTCCAACTTACGCTAATCTATCTTTGCTCTCCTCAGGAGTCAGCTGGTCAAAGGTCTTGGCCTCTTCTTTACCCAGGAAGGCCTCATGGTCATACTGGAAACTGTGAGCATCATCATGGGCGTGGTCACTCAGATCAGGCTGGTGATGGATGCGCTTCTCCTGAGCAGGCACAGCAAAGGCAACAGTGGCCAGGAAGTAGAGCGATGCTAATGAATTCAGCAGCATCATAACTGACTTCAGGGGGTGAAGAGAAGACAAAAAGTCAAATTCACATGGAGAGCACAGACCATATGAGAGAACACAGCACAAAGTATAACACACAATACACTATTACAAAACACATGTACACTACTCAAAGAATAAAACACAACAGCTAACAGTACTGTGGCAGCTCACTGCCAACTTCACTGCCAATTGAATTAACCAGGATAAAAGCCAACTACAGAGCTCTCAACCTGAAGCATTCAGAAGATTGTTTTTGAAGTATCTTTCCACTTAAGGAGGGCCAGGACTAGCATGAGTTACCAAAAATTTGAAGCAGATGGCAAAGTCAACATTTATATATTATACACACACACACACACACACACACACACACACTGACATACAATTTGAGTTCTTCAGTCTTTTCCCAGCATTTTTTCTGAGCTGGTCATTCTTGTTTATTTATTTGCTTTAAAAGTCGTCTGCAAGCTAAATAGTTCAGGAGCAACAATGCATTATTGACACTGATGAAAGAAGAAAAATCTGGTATCCGCAGCGTCAAATCACAGTAAACGATTCATGTCATCATGAGGTAAAAGTATCCATAATCACTTTCTCGCTCTCTTAACATTGAAATTCATTTTTAAAGTGCTGATAGAATAAATACACAAAAGCTCTGTCATACACCACACATCACTTTTTACATGCAAGAAAAAGATGAACTCACCAGCTTTGTTGCGCCACTTTTTACAATATACAGGTAGGGTCACTCCAGAAACAGTCCGCGTTGGCAAACGCTACCTTTAAATAACAATGGCAATTGGGCGGGTTTAGATACACAGCTATCCAATCATCAGTGCCTTAAAGAAAATTCTAACCAATAAAAAGTTCGTCAAAGTATGGAGGCGGGGCGGGAGGGAAACGTTTCAAGGTAAGTTCTTATTGGCTTCTTACCGCCACGTTGTCATGCAAACGGTCCACGGTCCACCATCATTCGCTCCCGTCGAGGAATCGAGGCGAGGGATCGTCACGTGGTTCACATACGCCCTAGTTCCCGGAAGTGGTTAGGGAGACATATGACAGTACGCGTAGTGTACTTCAAGCGTGCAGACCCTGAATTGGGACAGAGGCATGGGCTTATGTTAGTGGTTCCCAATCTTTTTTCGCTACGCCCCCCTTTGTTTTACAAGAAAAATATTCGCGCCCCCCCTTCTCGCGCGTGCACGAAAAAAACAAACAAAAAAGAAAACGATCATGTTAGACAAACTTAGGCTGGTACAGGTGAAACTCGAAAAATTAGAATACCGTGCAAAAATCATTAATTTCAGTAATTCAACTTAAGAGGTGAAACTGTCATATATCATATAGATGCATTACATGCATAGCGAGATATTTCAAGCCTTTATTTGTTATAATTTTGAGGGTTATGATTTACAGCTTACGGAAACCCCAAATTCAAAAGGTCAGAAAATGTGAATATTGTGTAAAGGTTCAATATTTTAGGCTCAAAGTGTCACTCTCTAATCAGTTAATTAATCTAATAACCTGCAAATGGTGCAAATGGTTCACGAGCCTTTAAATGGTCTCTCAGTCTGGTTCAGTAGGAGTCACAATCATGGGGAAGGCTGCTGACATGACAGTTGTGCAGAAAACCATCACTGACAGCCTCCATAAGGAGGAAACCTCAAACGGTAACTGCAAAAGAAGTTGGACATCAGTGCATCAAGAGCAGCCACACACAGACAGATCCTGGACATGGGCTTCAAATGTCATATTCCTCTTGTCAAGCAACTCCTGAACAGCAAACAATGTCAGAAACGTCTTAAAGAAAAAAAAAAGAACTGGTCTGTTGCTCACTGGTCCAAAGTCCTCTTTTCTGATGAGAGCAAATTTTGCACCTCATTTGGAAACCAAGATTCCAGAGTCTGGAGGAAGAATGGAAAGGTACGCAGTCCAAGATGCTTGAAGTCCAGCGTGAAGTTTCCACAGTCTGTGCTGATTTGGGAAGTCATGTCATCTGCTGATGCTGATCCAATTCAATTCAATTGAGTTTTATTTATATAGCGCCAAATCACAACAGTCGCCTCATGGCACTTTATATTGTAAGAAAGACCCTACAATAATACATACAGAGAAAAACCCAACAATCATATGACCGCCTATGAGCAAGCACTTTGTGGACAGTGGGAAGGAAAAACTCTGCTGCGACCGGTTGGGGTGACAGGATACAAGACATGCTACGGAAGAGAGCCAGAAATTAATAACAAGTATGATTCAATGCAGAGAGGTTTATTAACACATAGTGAGTGATAGTGTGCTTTTAAATCCAGAGTAAACGCAGCCATCTACCCGGACATTTTGGAGCACTTCATGCTTCCTTCTGCAGACGAGCTTTATGAAGATGCTGACTTCATTTCCCAGCAGGACTTGGCACCTGCCCACACTGCCAGAAGTAACAAAACCTGGTTCAATGACCATGGGATTACGGTGCTTATTGGCCAGTCTAATCTGAACCCCACAGAGAATTTATGGCGCATTGCCAAGAGAACAATGAGCTGAAGGCTGCTCACATAACACGTCAGCAGTGCCACGGGCTGAGAGCATCCATGCCACGCCGTACTGAGACAGTAATTCATGCAAAAGTGACCCAAACATATGCATGATTATACTTTTCAGAGGTCCGACATTTCTCTATTTAAAATTCTTGTTTTATTGATTTCAAGTAATTTTCTGAGCTTTTGAATTTGGGGATTTCATAAGCTGTAAGCCATAACCATCAAAACTATAACAATTATATTAGTTTAACCTTTTAAGTCGAATTACTGAAATAAATGAACGTTTGCATGATATTGTAATTTTTCCGGGTTTCACCTGTAGAAAATAAAATATGACAACTTAAATTATAGCACTTTGTTAGTATATATTGAGTACAGAAATTCAGTGCAATATAGGATTAGTGTCATAGCGTATATAACACAGTTAAATAAAACTTTAAGTATTTAGTATAATTCAGCCTTAAATGATTATTATTTTTGGAGCTGGTGGCATATTTTAAGCTGTGAGTTCCCTTTTAAAAGTTTTTGCACATTTAAAATGAAAAGAAATTCTGAGGGGCACGTTTTTTTTTTTCCTTTGTTTTTTCAGATTTGAATGACCCCTAGCTGAATACCATAATCTATCAGTCCATTTACAGTTCTATTATTTTTATTAGGTCAAAAACCTTTCAACAGAAATAAAAACTCAAGTTTCTCAAAACTTTATTAATCACAGTACATGGACAGAATATTTTATAGACAACAATCTATAATAATTACATCAATGACCATAAATATTAAATCACAAGTGCAAGTATTTAGTGTAAATGGTTTTTTTTAAGATTATCACAGATCCTCCATATTATGACTGACAACAAGAAGACAGGCACCATTGTCTAAATCATCATCATATTAGGAGACACCCTACAACCCAACCTTCATGTATGTTCAGTATTAAGTGTAGGATGATGATCCGACCCTGTGAACTGTTTTTTAATTCACTACATTAAGAGGGGTAAAATTTATGCAATGTAAACGTAAAAAAGGAGAAGAAATATTGTTTATTTGTATTTCGTTCTAATAGGTAAACAATAAAGACATAATTAGAAAAGACATGAATCACATTCCTAACACTTGCCTAAAAGCTGCATGGAACATTTGCTACTACTGAGGACGTTCTACAGAAGCAGATTTTAAAAAATTAAAATGCCAAATGTGTCAAAAGAATTTCAGCTTTAAAGTTATTTGGTAATTTATTTCAGCTTCACATTGAAACTAATGTGTGCTTTTGACCACCGTCTGTAATAGACCTGTGCGTTAAGTTCAACTCCCCCTTAACAAAATAGCTTACCTAGCTACAGTAAACTTTTACTTGGGTCTGTTTCGTTCTATGTGTAAACAGTGTAGATAGTAGCATAATGATTGTACGGGTTTAGTATTTGCTAAAGTGTTTATGTTTTAACTTTTTAATATGTTATTTTGAATCAATGACTGTGAGCACATTGTGTCAGACTCAGAAATGGTTTTATGTAAAGTGTAATGTACTTAAAACCCAAATAGGATGACATCGGTCTCGAGCCTATCCCAGGTGACACAGAGTAAAGCAAAGTACACCCTAATGTCACAAATAAAAGGTATTAAATGAAATCAAAAACAAGCGAGTCTTGAAAACAAAATGTAACCATATTTCCATAAAATGTCAGGCAGCAACAATGAAGCTCTTTTTCTTTAAGAGTAAAGTAAATGGTGTTACCAAGGCTCTCATTTGAGCAGAGGGCATAAAAATGTTACACTGAAATAACATGCAGGCACTAAATTATCTATGACATTTTCATGGTCTATTTAAGAGTCACATTTTCTTGGCTACATCATTTCAAGTTTATTACTATTAAGAGCAACACAATAGTCATAACATTATGGACAGTTTTAACGGACAGTTTAGATTGATTGTGTTCATACAGAGAGTCAGCACTGACACTGTACCTCTGTATCCAGGATAGGTGCATGCCAGGATGAATGTATGCAGTGAGGCGACTCTTGCGCACTGCTTTTAGCACACATTTGAGCACTAAAAGCAGCTTTATGCAACACTATGAGTCAACAACTAAAGTTCATTAGGAGTTAAGACATTTATTGTGTTTATTGCTATAGTAATTGTTACAGAATTACAACCACATGTGCAGTCGTACTTATGAATCTCATATCTCAATTCATAAATGTAAAAAGGTTTAATGTTTTACATATTAGGGATATTTTCCCTGGTGATATTCAAAACAAGAGTGTTTTTAGGCCAGATTAAGAATAAAGCAAACTTTATGTTTCCCGATTCCAGAAATTAAGCAGAACAGTGCCACAAAAAACTACTAAGGTTAGCTTTAGAGAGCACTTTAATTTGACGTAAAAACCAACACTTTTTTATGTGAATGTGAAATGAAATACTTCAGTATAAGTTATAATGGCGAGATTTAGGAAAATACAGCTGCGTGATGTCTCATCTCCAGAGCAGACTGGCCAACATTTCTGTACAAAGACAAACTGTTTAACTGTTTTACTTAAGTAGTTGTTTTCCAGGAAAAAGCAACTTCAACCAGACTTGAATACATGTATATAAACAGAAATGAATCTATATTTATATAGATTCTAAGCTTATTTTAACAGATTTTTCAGAAACATGAACATTCTACAAAATTTGCATTTACTACAACTAGCCTTCTTTTAGCTGTAGCTCAGGGCTAGTTGAATTCTATTTTGTTTAGATTGTGCTTCTCTTTTCTTAAACTGTCCAGAGTTACGTTTTCCCCCATTCTGATTTAACTCAGGATTGTATAGTTTTAGAAGGATTTTGGAAAGGATCTATTTGTGCTGTGCCAACACATCACTAAAAATATTGAGGAAGAGGTTCACATGATACTCCTTGAAAACCAGTGCTGGGCGGAATCTGATTGATCGATCCCCACATCCCCCGAGGAGGACGCCTGCCAACAAAACAAAATGGAACAACAACAATTGTTTTTTTACAGAGATATCAGACAGATATCTAGCACTTTCAAATATGATTCCTTTGATGACTTCGCTGATTAGTTTCAGCCATATTAAAAATAAGTTAAGGTTACTGCTAACAGAAATGACAACATCGTAAATTTCTTTACTCTGGCTAAGCCAAAGGATTATCCTCATTATTGTCTAGTTTTGCAAATATCATAAACTTGCCTTCCATGATCTCCATGAGTGCAAAACTGAACCAAAGGAGCCATCATAAAAAACAAAAACACCATATATTGATATGCTTTATACCTTTGTCTCTGGCCTTGAGCATGATCCTGTTACGTGCGGCATCATCACAGGCATCAATGGCACAGAAGGTCCCCTGTCCTCGGGCTCGACTCAGTATGCTGGGGTACTGAGCCTGCGGAAAAAAGCCATGTAATTTATGATCACGACCATTCAAAGCATTCAAATGCAGCATTACGCTCAGTTAGTAAGCTTAAAAATCAGCAAAAATATTCAGGTCAATGATTAACAACCAAAGAATTTTGAAGCGATGTACTAACTTGAAACTTAAAAAGCTAATAATATTTTTTTTTAAATGCTACTGCCTCCATCCTCTCTCTCTCTCTCACACTTACATGTTTCAGATCAAACAATTTTTTTTATTAGAAAAAGACAACATGAGTAAATACAAAATACAGTTTGTGGCAGATAAGAGGCACGACGCAACCACGTTTCCGTGTTTTTCATCATCTTTTATTATTACTCCGGTTGCCATACACAATCGGCCGCAGCTTTGCAGCTCGCAGGCACACACAAACGACAAGAACCACAAATACAGGACCCGGTACAGATTTTGAAACTAGCAAGGTATGATTGTAGGTATGATTGGGATGCCGCGCAGGTGAGTCCACCTCACCTGCGCAGCATCGCAAGCCACACCCTGCCACACAGTTTTTAAATGCTCATTTTATTTATTAAGAGAAAAAAGCTTTAAAAGAAATCTATCCAAATCCATGTGAAAGTAACAGCCCCATGAACCTAACAATTAGTTGTGCTACCCGTGACAGTCAAATGTTAACTGGGTTTTTCAAGTCGGTGTGGAGGAATTTTGTTGTAATTCTGTTCCACGGGCAGTTTTAGTTAAGGCAGGTTTTCAAACATGAACGGCCACGAGTTTGGACCAAGTTAATTTAAAAAAAACACAAAAAAAAAACAAAACAACAGTACCTGTAGCTCATAGAGGCCATTCAGCAAAGCTTTGCCAGAGCGGGTCACTTCGTCCAGAAGATTTTCTCTCCGAATCACATTGAGAACCTCAGAAAGGAACAAGTTCTTTGACGGGTCACCCATCCATGTGTTAAAGATGCGGTAGGGCTGCGGAAAGCACAAGCACAAAACACTGGATACTGGGTAGTAAAAACCTAAAATAAAAAGAACAGCTACAACTTATCAAAATGGGTAGGGAAGGGGGCTGATTCCTGTTTCAGCTGACACTGGGCAGGAACCCCTGTGATGCACCAGCACCCTCGACAGGCTGTTGAAAACCTGTATTTCAGTGTAGAAACATTTATGTGTCTGCATCATGGCAACAAAGATGAAAACTGACTGCCATCACATTCAGATAAACATTCAATTTGTAAAATTGAAATGAAGGTTACATATTCCTACTATTAAAGTTATAAAAACTATTAATATTATGAAGAATAACAACAGACTTTCACAACTGCTTTTTGTGAGACAGAATCTTTTAACTGTGACATGTAATATTGCAGGGTGAGGTGCCTCTTCCATTTCCACCTCTGCAGGAAGCCACTCCCACACTAAAATGTTTAAACTCATTTCCTTTAAAACTAAGCTAACTTTTATTGGTTAGCTGATTCTAAATCTTATGTGTTGCTTTTCTCCTCTGCCTGAGCACTAAAAGCCTCATTCATCTAATCACATAGGCACTTATTTCTATGCTTTTTCTGTGCAAGTTCTTTCTATCTAAAATTCACATGTATAGTCCAGGAGAGCAACTTGGGGTTGAAATTAATGCCCAAGGGTATTTGGCACGCAGATAGGAGCATCCGGGGATCGAACCACCAACCTTTCGATTAGTAGATGACCTGCTATTCCTCCTGAGCCCATTACAAAACTAATGTAATGTAGAACTTACAAAAAATAAATAAGCTGTAATTTGAAATTATTGTAGAAAAACAGACATAAAAATGTCAAACCTTGTCTGCCTGTAATTCATCCTTGTGGTAGTAACCCCCACTCAAAAGCTTCTTGCTGAAAGAGACAACGTCAGCAGGGTCGTCCATACCCCAGTGCTCATGGGCCCAAAACTTTCCTGTGCCTCCACCACCAGTCTGGACCTCATCCACATGAAAAGCACAGCCATGCTGAGGGGGGAAGCAAATATACTCAGTATACCTCTGCCAGAAATTTTGAATCCCTGAACTCCAAAGCAGACAATTTTGACTTTTTCTCCTTGGTTCTGGATGAGAGCTGTGATGTCCGAGACACAGCTCAGTTACCACTCTCTGTACGTGGATTAACAAGGGTTCAATGAAAAAGACCATGACAGGGAATGCTTTAGTCACAGAGGTAACTGCATGCTTGGACAGGGTGAAATAGGACACGCTGACACAACAGGGAAAAATGTTGGACCTTTAAAGCAGATCCGAGATAAAGTGACTAAAATAAACCCTGAACCTAAATTGTTATTTTGCATTGTATTGTGCATAAGGAGGTGTTGCGTTGGTCAGTGCTGAAAATTAACCATGTTTTTGGTATTAAGTAAAATGGATAATTTCATAAGGGCATGAGCACTCAGTCACACAGTTTGTCGCACTTTGCAACTTACTGAGTGCTATGACAGAGGCTACAGTGTAGGACCTGAGAGCAAAAATTGTGAAAAGAAAGGCAACGACATTCCAGTGACTTCAGATACAGAATGGAAGGCAGATACTGCAGCTATTGCTGTTGATGTGACTGGAACAAATGTACGAAGTAAACTGCAAAATAAAACAAGCACTGTGGGTAATGAAGTTGAACAAATCCAGATACAGATCCTCCCTCGGTGATGATCACCTTTATTCACAATTGTTTTTGGGAATGTTAGTTAAAATGGAATCAAATGTTGGTGTTGTTATTATACAACACCGACATTGCATTTTTAATTGTATCATCTCCTCTTCCCAGTAGCAGTGTATAAATATATCACATTAATATTGAGCAGAATATTAAATTCAGCTTATTGGTGCAGCCCTCCAAAACAGTCCCAGTTTCTCATGTGTGCCCTTTCCACAACATTATCAAAGAAACTGTATACATATTTTTGAGACCATTTTCAGTTCCTGCTTTTCCTGCACCCCTTTATGATTCCCATGGACATATCTATACATATCTTTAAAAATATTTTAGCAACATTAAAACACTGTAAGTCTAGAAAAAAGCCCCATTTTTTTTTTATTATGATTAACTCCCACATACAAACCAGTCTGTCTTTAAAGCTAGTGTCTTACCTTGCGTGCAATATTGCGCAGTCTTCGGAAGAAGTCTGGCGAAGCGTGGTTATCGCCGCCTTCGGCCTGAATTGGTTCAATTACAATTCCCGCTACAGGTTTTCCCTTCTGTCTCCACTTCACAATCAAATCTTCCACCTTGAGTTACACACAAGAGTTCCAACATCACACACAATATGGCACTTTTTTTCCCCAAAGTGATATAACTTAAATCAGTCATTCATAACATTAAAGTTCAAATTTTATTCGCCACATGCAGTGGCAGGTTG